GGCTTGTATGCAGATGTCTCCCAAAAGCCTCATTCACTCACAAGTAAGGCTTTTCCGAGCTGACTGGATCCTTTGCGTGTGATACTAGGATTAAGAGTGTGTGATACTAAATCAGTCCTCTAATTGGAATAAGCATAGTTCTGGGTGTGGTTGAATGGATTTTCTGAAGACAAAATCCCCCCTCCATCCAAAAGGCTGGTAGCCTGGATGGGAGAAAAGGGAAAGGTAAGATAGCTGCTTGCTGCCTCCTACCTGCTCCGAGATGGACCATTTTTACTCTGTGATGCCCCTCTGCCACGCCACCATACCTTGGAGCCAGCTGATTAGGGACTGAAGCCTTTACAAACTATGAGCTGAAATATACCTTTCTTCCTTTAACTTTGGATGTTGGGTATTCTGTCTCAGCAATGAGAAAAGTAACTATGACAGCTACTATATTTGTAAAGGTTAGAATTCATTTGTGAAGTATTCATCGAATGCAGACCATCCTTTGATGTTTGGGTTGCTCATTGTTAACTATGAAGGAGGAAGGGCAGGTTACAAATTCCTTTCTTCTCTTACCTTCTCTCCATTGAAATTTTGCTTTTCCCCATCCGTCCTTCAACTGAATGAGAGGCTAAAGTGCATCTTTTTCAAAAGATTATTGAGAAATTCTGCTCAACCTTCTCAGCTTCCCTTACTTTGAGAACCATTGGTTCATGTAATAACAATAGAACCACTGTGAGATGTGCCTGAGTTCGTGTAGATTCCACAAGCAAAACTCTCAACCAGTTTAGCCCTGCAATGAACTTTGGCAGCTTTTCTCCAGCAGTCTATCTGAAAGCTTTACAGGCTCTCCCTGGTATCTAGGGATTCCCCACTTTACACAGGTCACTCTCACTTTACACCACAGCCCAGGCATGCAGAGTTTTTTACTTTCTTATTTGGAAGACAGCACTGAGATCTCATATAAACATGAATTTGCCTTCCCAGAGGACAATGGGAAAGATGCTATTTACTGTCACAGAAAGGAGCCATGTTAGGAATGTCAAATCTTTACACTTACTTACAAAATAAAAAATAACACTTCTATTCATTTCCCCCATGAAAATGAATTAGGAGATGTGGCTGGCATGTGCTATCGGAGAAGAAGGCATTTTGGGCGTCCATGTGATGATTTCTATGAACACAGCCAATCCCTGTGCCCACTTGGGGCTGTCAGGTAGAGATTGCAAACTTTTGTTTTTTTAATTCAGTTTGTTTAGCATGTAGTAGGAGAATGGCTGCACTTAGGAATCTAATTAAGACTTAGGGCTAGTGATGATAAGGAGGAATTTCTAGTTAGATAGGATGCTACATACTGAACAAGTTTCTCAGATGGGGGGACCTCTATTTTCTGTGATTGGTGACAATAGCACAATCTGTGTCAGTCAGGAGGTTCAGGAGCGGTTTAGTCCAGAAGGAAAGGGACAGACCAAATTACCTGGATCCTTTCATCTTGGCAGTCCAGTGGAAAATGCTCCTGAGACAACTTAATACTGCTTTTTTCTTCCTCATTTTCTCCCCCTTAATTTGCACTTCCAATTTTCAGTGTCTATAATGTGTTATCGGGCTTTCCTCCTATTAAAAACGCATGTGAATGTGAGAATGTTCTCCTCTAGAGAAGACGCTCCCTAAGATTTTTGCTTCTGGCCTACACTCTTATGAGGTAGGTGCTGAAACGTCCTCCACAGCAGAGTGGGGTGGCAGTGAGTCTCATCAGGGACGGCAGCTCTCCTGCTAATTTTGGCAGGAAAGGGAAACACTCAGCTACTTTGAGAGAAAAGAAGATAAATTTGTGATCCATTTGCAAATCAAGATGGAGTGATTTTCAGACCTGGGGATGTGCTGAGAGCCATCTATTCTCTTCTATCATGGCACTTGTTAGAACAAAGTAGTCCTAGTTCATCCTTCTTGGTCAAATAGTTATTCTTCCCATCTTGGATTATGGAAGACATACTGAGGGGAAAGGAAGGGGACGTTCCAGATGGGGTAGTGCTGATGTGGATGTCCTTTGCTTCAGGTGACTCTGGGTTAGAATTTTGAGAAGGGGACAAGAGGAGAAGGAAGAGAGGTGGATGGAATAGGCCCAGCACCTAGTACTTGATAATTTTAGCAGGGATGTCCTAAGTGCCCCAGGAATAAGGGACTACAGAACATGATACCACAGTATAGGGTGCAGGAAGACTGAGGGAGGTATAACTTTGGTCTTTAAGCATGGCAAGGATTAAGCTAGTTTTTCTAAGGCACTTATACCTTCCCCACTGCACAATTCTGTGATTCTGTGACTTCTTTCTGTAACAAGGTGGTTTCTGCACAATTATCAATGAGAAGATAGACCTTTGTAAAGAATATCATTGTGGCTTGAGAATAATAAGCTAAAATCTACTTATTAAAATTCACCACCAGCATGTATGCTTTCTCAAGTCTTGATGATTTCATGGCCTAGGTGAAAATTTAATATTCCTCTGGAAAACTGAATTAACATGGAAGAAAATTATGTTTGACTAGTAGATGTTATTTCTACAACATTATTTGCCTAAGAAAATAAATGACTCTGAGACTTAAGATTGATAGCTAAGAGTAAGAGCCAACTTCTACCAGGTCCTTTTCTGGTTCCAGGAACTATCTTAGGCATTTTACATGCAGTAGTTAATTTAAATCCCAGAAAAACTCTATAATGGGAGTTGATTCTCAACCTCTATATGACAGATAAGTAAATTGAAGGCTGGAGAGAATAAGTACTATGTCAGGTCTGGGACTTTTTCCCACCCTCCACCTCTGCTTGAGGGTCAGCAGGATTCGCCAGCTTGGGCTGCACCCATCATATTATGCGGAATGGAGATCTTCACGTTGTGGAAGTAAGAGTTTGCCGGGGCATCGCAGCAGAAATGAGGAGGCTTAGGTTTCAGCAGGTGTAAAATGGGCCAACATGATATGTTACACCTATAAACACTATTTTCTGAACGCTGCTGTTAGGAATTAAAAGCTAAGCAGGATCTTTACATTTATAACTCTCTACTGCTAGACAATTAGACAGGTGAATGAAGATTCTGTCTGATGTTGATAGAAGTCTTTTAGATTCCTCAAGTCATTTAAAACTGACTGACATCAGTGAGATAGATTTTTCTCACTTTCCAGCTGGGGAAACTGAGGCTCAAAAGGTGCAAAAACACAGCTGGGAAATGGCAGGGCTGCAAAGGAGGCCCAGTTCTTTATCCATTATTCTTATCTGCTTTTCAGCACTGGGTTTTGGTGAATCTGAAACATTTGCTCTGCAACATGGTCAGGACCCACTGTCTTTAGGGGTGAGTTGAGGCCTAGTGACCCCAGAGGTGAGCCAAGCTTTCTGTAAGCTGGGATTCGAGCCAGGCAACACAGGGCACCTGTAGCTCTGCAGACAGGGTGCATTTCTACAGAGGGCACAGGTCATGCCTTGCTCAAGAGACTCACAATGGCCCTCCCAGCAGCACCCAGTTTGCTCTGCTGCCTTGCCTCTGTGCTCTGACATAGGAGGTGTGGATTTACTTTTGTACTTTTTATACAGAGATGTTAAATTACTCAATGTTTTCAGATTGTATGTGCTTATTTCCTGTCCAATGGAGGTTTTAATGTGGTTTTTAGGATTTACCAAAGGGTGCTTATTATCTAGTTATAAAGTAGAACAAAGTGATCAAATGCCTACCAGAGACAGCCTGAGTTCCTGTCACCTCCCACCCTGCAAGATGTATCTTCATTTTCAAAACTCAGTTCAACTTTTGCCATTGCATTTAAAGCCTAATTTGCCTGTCCCTCTTCAACCCGTAATATTGACTACTTTCTCTCTCTCTCTTTTTTTTTGTATCCTTTCTGTATCCTGCACAGAGCTCTAACACAGCACCAATGACATGTAGAGTCTATACAATAGTCAAAATGGTATTTGGCTTATATTTGTTGAATACTTGATGTGTGCCAGGCATGCTGTACTGACCACTATATGGCCCTGTGTCATGTGACTCTTGCAACCACCTCTTAATACAGGTCCTAGTCTGATGATCAGTGTGCAGATGAAGGAAACACAGCCAAGGTGACTAAGCCACTTTCCCAAGTTCACTTGGCAAATGTTTCTGTTAATGAAACTATAAGTTTCTGGAGGGCAAGGCTACCCTTACTTGAGCCAGAGCACAATGGAATGTACCAAAGGCCCAAGTCTGTTTTCCATTCTTTACCTTGGCACTTGACAGCAGGGTGGAAAGAGAGATTGAGATGTATGATTTTTTT